TTGGTGGAAAATGTTTCTTTGATCCTTTTGAAAAGTGTTCCTCAAGAAAATCCTATATTTTCTTATGAAAAGCGTGTTTGAAAACCCATTCCTTCCATGACTTCCAGATTCATACAAGGTATGTACAATCCAAGGAGTCGTGGAATGAATATGAATATCTGTTAGTTACATGTTAAACAATCCGTTTATGAAAAGCCGAGTTATCCCGGGAAAATCCTATATTTTCCCTAAAAGTTGATCATTGATTATCCGTTCTAAACTGAGGTGTACAAGTATCTACCATACTTATATCGATAAACGTAGTTTTCTTTTAAAAACCCTGGTTACTCCCAGTGAGATATATTAGCCTTATTACCTAAATAAAACTAATAAAAAGAAAACGTGATGAACTAAATCCTGAAGGTATTGTTAATACCCTCCAGTAATCAAATCGGTTATTACTTTGAGGTTAGTTCACTTAATTCATTATTACAAAAGTAAATCTTTGTTATCTACATTGTGAGTTTCATGACCATAACTGACTGGATATGGCACGTAACGGGGCCGGTATCCTTTATGACTTTGTCACCCGTAGACCTGCCGGTCTGACTGTAGCTAGCAGCAAGGTGCGGGATTGTCAGTCCCGTATAGATCTATACACAACAGTCACGCTCTCCCTACAAGAGACTCTAGTCACAAGTGCTAGTCCTACACTCTGATTCTGTGGGAGTGTTACCAAGGACGTGTCTCCAACTTAGACTAACAAATTTACAAGTAATAATACTGAAAATCCTTTTTATGATTTGCATGAATCCTTTATAAAATAATACATTTTACTACATGATTCACAAGTTCGTCACCCTAGTTTTGAAAACTCTTTCTACGAGTTGATTTCTTAATCGTTTGGTAAAAACTGTTTTCCATGTTAAAAGCATACTGAAAATATAATTATCTTAAACAAAATAATATATTTTGAGCACAAGTTTCCTTGTACTTTTTCTTGTATTCCCCCTTCTGAAAACATAAAAACTCGGAAAAACGTAGGGGTATGAACTCACCTCGGATAAGTGGTTTGATTGAAGGATCGATACGGAAAGCTGGATGTTCAAGTGAAGCCTTGAACACGGTTTGATCCTAATTAACACGTAATGATACATAAAGGAGTCAAATGAAGGTATTTCACCATTAGATGTGATGGAGAACCACTCTAGGGACTTGGAACTACTTGTACTAAGTGTTAGGACCTTAAAGGATTGAATGAGGGAGGTGTATGGCCACCTTCAAGGTGTGTGCGGCCATGGGTGTGCGGCCCAAGGGGTGTACGGTCGTACACTCATGATGGAGGGTGCCTTTGAAGTGTTTTCAAGGTCCATACTTGCATCCATGAAGTGTTCTAGGTCTATACTCAATTGTAGTGCAAGTTAAGGGTCTTAGAAATGGGTTTATGGTCCTAGGGTGTGTGTGTGGTCGCACACGGGAGTGTGCTGCCGCACACAAGGAGTGTGCCGCACAAGGGTGTGTGCGGCCGTACACAGGTGTGTGCGGTCGTACACCCTACATGATGATGTCCAAAATGCCAATTCTAGGGTGTAGCAAAGCTAGGTTCATGTCCAACTCGAATATGGAAGTCCAACTCTCACTTTGGAGGGTCTTTTAGGAGTGTGAGGCCACCTTATGTGGGTGTGCGGCCGCACTCTTTCAAAGAGATGAAGAACATGGCGGGACTCAATGATTCAAGGCTTAGATCAAGTGGTTCTTCAAGCACAACAAGCTAAGGGATGGATTACTCACGTTTTTGGAGCTTTGGAGAGTTTTTGGTTGAAGAAGCTTGAGAGAAATGGTGTTGTGTGCTGCCAAGGTGTTAAAGGAATGAAAGGAAAGGAGTCTACCCTTTATATAGGGGTGAGTGTGCTGCCTAGAAGTGAGTGTGCGGCCAAGAGGTGAGTGTGCGGCCACACACCCATGTGTACGGCCGTACACTCCCCCTAAGGGTGTGTATGGCCCGGTTTTGTCACTCTACGGCTTGTTGACTCATTCCTAACCTCAACCTTGGCTATACTCAAGCTTAGAACGCTTAAATGGACCCTTAAACAGTACAAGAAGTCAACAGAACAAGTTTAACATTGATTGAATTGACTAAGTGTTCAAGATAAAAGTTTCGGGTTGTCACATTATAGCCCCCATCCCAGCCTCCAGCACCTTTAGAACGTTCCCCCTCAAAACCCTAGCCCTCCATTGGTGAGTTTGAGTGATTCCTTCTTGATTTTGAGTGATTTGGTGTATTCTTGGAAGTGTAGAAGAGAAGGAAAGATAGAAGGTGCAAAGGAGAAGAAGGAGATCCAGAAGTTAGCTTTCATTTACTACTTCATTTGGTAATAAAGCCTCTACCTTGTTCATTTTCCTAGTAGATCTTCATATATGCTTGCTTTGCCACTTTTGGGACATTTCAAGGTCCAAACTCGAGATTGGAGCCCCCTTAGGGTAGTGAACTATAGATCTGGACATCATTGAGCTCCAGGAGCTCAAAGTAGCTACCTTTATGCAATCAAGGCCTTGTTCCAAACCCTAGGTTCCCATTTCTAGCTTATTTTGGTGTTTTAGCTTCATACCTTTATGCATGCACGTAAAGTTGGCAACTTTACGTGTTATATTATCCCTAGAAGCTCAGATCTATGAATTGGACGCACTGGAATCGAATAAAATCAACTGTATAGTGAAGACATGCATAGGACTCGACGAGTCGTTCATCGGACTCGGCGATTCGGATCGTAAACCCCTGATTTCCCCGATTTGAGAGTTGTGAGTTGAATCAGTGAGTGGAAGAGGACTCGGTGAGTTAGAACAAGGATCTAGAAGTGGAGGGACTCGACGAATCTACGCCCCGACTCGGCGAGTCGAGTCGCGAGTTAGAGAATTGTGAGTTAGGGAACTCGGTGAGTCCATAGTAGGACTCGACGAGTAGAGTCAACCTAGAAGTTTGACTCTGACCAGGACTTTGACTTTGACCAGGGGGTAAATTGGTCATTTACTCCATGAGGAATCATCAGTTGATTCAGAATGTTATGTGATTGTAGCCGGGGAGTCGCCGGAGCAGCAAACAGGGATTTCTCACTCGGGATATTAGCAGCCAGTTATACGAGGTGAGTTCTCCTTCAGTAGGGATGGGTCTACGGCACCAAGGTCGGCCCGTAGTATGATATGATAGTAGCTGAGTGTGGGCAGGGCCCGTATCCTATCTTAGCAGAGTATGGGTGAGGCCCGTATCTCATAGTAGTAGTTGATTATGATGTATGAACAGTATATTAGCTTTACATGTTGTCTGTGTGATACTTGTATGTTGGGTTCAGTAGTTGAGTGTGGGCGAGGCCCGTATCTCATCATAGCCGAGTGTGGGTGAGGCCCGTATCTCGAAGTAGCTGAGCATGGGCGAGGCCCGTACCTCAGAGATAGTGGAGTGTGGGCGAGGCCCGTATCTCCTAGACAGTAGAGTGTGGGCGAGGCCCGTATCTCCTAGATAGCGGAGTGTGGGCGGGGCCCGTATCTCCCAGTTAGCGGAGTGTGGACGAGGCCCGTAACTCCACGAGTGTGGGCGAGGCCCGTATCTCCTAGTTGCATGCTATGTGTAGATGATATGTGGTAGATCGGGGAGACTCACTAAGCTTCGTGCTTACTATTTTCAGTTTTGGTTTCAGGTACTTCCACTAGCACTGGGAAGGGCTCGGTATGATCGCATGGCACACACCACAGTCTTCAGCCTGGGAGTTAGACTCTGATATTTGGATATGATGTTTTGACACGAGATTTGACATGTGACATTTGTTATGATATTTTGAGACATACTACTTATGGTTTTTATTATGATATTGGATATTATGGTTTTCACAATGAAGTAAAAATGAAATTTTCAGACTGTATTTTTGGGATGTTTCACACCCCCTCCTACACCACCTCCCACCCCACCTCCGTCACCACCTCCCCCTACCCCTCCACCACCACCACCACCTCCATCCCCTCCACCTCCAACCCATCATATGCACACAAGATCAAAAAGTGGCATCTCCAAACCTATCACTTGCCTCAACCTCCACACTTCCTCCATTTCCTGTGTCCCGAGGTCTCACTTACAGTATTTGAAAGACCCAAACTGGCATAAAGCCATGAATGAGGAATACAATGCTCTTATTACAAATGACACTTGGGTCCTTGTTCCACGACCCCCGGGGGCTAATGTGGTTCGATCTGTGTGGCTCTTCAAACACAAATTTCATGTTGATAGCTCTCTATCGCGCTATAAAGTGTGTCTGGTCGCCAACGGACGTAGTCAGCAACAAGGCATTGATTGTGATGAGACGTTTAGCCCAATTGTAAAACCAGCCACCATACTGACCGTTCTCAGTCTGGCTATCTCCAGACACTGGCCGATTCATCAGCTCGATGTGAAGAACGCCTTTCTTCACGGCCATCTTCAGGAGACTGTTTTCATGCACCAGCCTCCTGGTTTTCGAGACCCGCAACATCCAGATTATGTGTGCCACCTTCAGCGGTCCCTGTATGGTCTAAAACGCTTTCTCAATGAATGATTGTTTACGGGAGAATAACCTTAAGCAGAGACTACATACAATGTTTACAAAACTCTCTGGAATCCGATGATGAAGAATGACACTGATATGGTGATCTTCAATAGCATTCGCCTACATGCCATGGAAAACATCAATTCAATTATGATTCTTATATATGTATGGGTTATATAATATATACAAGGGAACGTAGAGCCAAACCTCGAGCATGGAGTCTAGTAATTTGTAACCATCATGGGGACTTACTTTTTTCGACCCACGAAGTGAGACTTTCCACAACCATTTACAGTTTGAAATATCTCCAAAGGTTTCAAGTGAGCTACAATATTCCGCTTTAAAAACAACTATGCTTGATGGGAGCTCTGACAATTCTACAAGGCCATAGCAAGATGTTATGTTGAGCAATTTGAGCCGAGGAGTTCGTATGAGACCAAAATCTAATCGTTAAAACTTATTGTGTGATAGATTGAGTTCTTCCAAGTTGAGTAACACCCAAACAGCAGAGCTGACATCTTCATCTCCCAAATCACACCGGTTGAGATCCAATTTTCTTAAGTCACTGCGAAAAAACCATAATTCTCCTGGTTTTTTAACTTGTGTGTCACCAATATTATCCAAATGAATATGTCGTAAATTGTCCATTATCTTCAGGTTTCGCAGCACCTATTTGTATACAAGTAAAAACAAGTCGAAAATATATCAAGGTGATACGAATTTCATGAAAATCGGAATGGAAATAATTTGTAGTGTTTGATTGTTTAATGCGCCTCGGTTACCTACTATTTCTATTGGGATGATAAATAGCCAAAAAAGGGATTTTTACATTTATATCCTTATAAACTCTAAGAATTAGTTCAATTTTCTTATAAAGTTTAAAATTACTTATATATCCTTCTAAAACTATAAAAATTACATTAATGTAATTTCTATAGTTTTAGAAGGATATACAAGTAATTTTAAAGATTATAAGGATATTGATGTAATTTTTAAAGTTTATAAGGATATAAATGTAAAAATCCCCAACTTAATGTTATATAATGGTTATTAATTGACGGGGAAAAAATACATTAAAAATGAAATCTTACCTAAATAATAAAAAATAAATTTCATAAAAAAGAGAAATTTTTATATTTATGTTTAGAAAAAAGGGTATTAATGTTATCTATACTATAAAAAAAATACAATTGAAGTTGCTTAATGACACCAATAATAGGTGACATAACAATGTGATCTTATCGATTTAACTACTTCAAATTTACTCTCTGGATTAGTCAAGTCTATATAACTCATCATCCACTTTCTTTGCATTTATGAATTGGATAAACAATAAGAATTACCTTATTCCCATTCCAAAGTTTGTCTTCGGAGCCTCTACTCAGTATTAGACAACAAAGCCCAATTGGTGGAGAGTTATTAACCAATGGACTTGCAGATGGATTTTTAGGATCACCTTCCCATTGAATATACCGAAGGTTCCTCATGTTAGCAACAATCAGAGAAGGAGGAGGTTCTTCATGTACTTGAGAGTATTTAACTTGTATTGCTTCAATCTTGTCAAGTTCCTGTGATAGAGGAACAAAATGGTGTCAATGTTGAGTTAAAACTAAAAAGTGTTTGTTTATACATATATCATGCAAAGCTAGCCTAGCAATTACCGTTGTTGCATCCATGGCACATATTGTTGGAACATCTTCCTTCTTCCAAACTCTACTATGTTTTTCAGGATTTCTAGGGTGTTCCCCTCTAACAATGTAGCGTGCCATTTCTTGCACCAGATCATGCATATCAAACCTTCCATTCGAGATAGTTATGAGAGCCTTTTGTCTCAACTCCTCTACTCCTATAACAGGATGAAAACCACAAGCATCAAGTATCTCCATTGCCCTATCTTTCTTCTTCCACCTAAAAAAACATGCAATATCAAGGAACAAGTCTTTCTGGACCTCTGTAAGTCCATCAAAGCTGATTTTTAGCTTTACCAGAATCTCATTATCTGGGATCACTTTCAATCTGGCTAATGCACTCTTCCAGTGATGAATATTTTTGTCACATAGAGAAGAGACAAGAACAGTAAGTGCTAATGGAAGCCCACCAGCATAAGAGACCACCTCTTTTGAAAGTTGCTCATAATCCTTCATAGGCACAGAACCTTGGGGTGAATGCTTGCGAAAGAGCTCAACAGCCTCATCACTGTTTAACAAACTAATATGGTGTACCACAACTTTGTGAGCATTTAATAAATTCTCATTTCTAGTTGTGATTATTATTCAGCTTCCTTCACCAAACCAATCAGGTGATCCACTTCTAGTTGGTCACGTTGATCGACATCATCAAGAACAATCAAGACCTTTCTATTGCGCAACCTCTTTTGTATCCAATATCTTCCTACCACAACACTGTCTGCTCCTGTTTGTGAATGTAGAACTGTACCGTGTTAACTATTTGTGGTTAATACTATTACTATGCGAAGTTAGTTGGTTGTAGGTGCATGTGTTGCAAGTGTTGGAGAACATAAATTACGAACTGGCACTTGAAAAGGACCTTGAGTATGTCAGACCATTGATCGTTATTATATATGGGCTGATATTGATCAAAGATGAAATTTTATTTGAAACTGTTGAACATTTGGAATGTGCTATCATCAAATTTTTGATGTTTTTAAATTCAATGGTTAAATTTCTATTATATCCGATAAAAAAAATCATCATAATATTCATTTTCTTTTGGCAGCTTCTTCTCGTAGGCCATCCGAGTAAAGTTGAGGAGATTGATATCTTTATGGCCAGGTGTGGCCCTTGCGAACCAGTTGGAGAATATTTGTATATGTTTTTATTTTTATTATTGCTTACTCTAAATTTTGACACAAGTTTTCTATTTCCGGTATTGAGATGAGAGGTGATCACAAGTGGTTTAAAATTAATCCTTCTAGAATTTTCCTTAAGAGGTTAAATGCAAGAAATAGCAACGCACATTCACTGATTTGTTTGTTATGGCATCCTATTTTCCTTTCTTCATATTACAATATTGTTCTTTGAAAAATCTACTCGGTTATAGCAATGTCATCCAAGTAGAAAGCAATTTTTGCTGCTGTAATTGGATAGATTTTTCTAAGCAACATCCTAATAGTATTTTTTTAAAGTAAAATGCGACTTGTTTTGTATTTGGATGACATTTTTTTAATGGGTAGATTATTCATTGTATAATGTCCAAATATATAAAAAGTATGGAACTGTTATTCTTATAATTGCTTTTTATTTAGATGACATTGTCATAATTTGTTAGATGATTAAAAAATAGGAAGGAAAGGAAGTAGGATGCTATAATAAACAAATGATCAAAGTTTTTTTTTTTTTTTTTTTTGTATCTAATCTGGTGTTATCCTAGCGAAACATTTTTGTATATTTTGTTTATTTTACCTTACTTTGAATGTTTACCCTTGTTTTTCAATTTGTAGGACTGAGAGGTGAGTAGAAGTGGTTTAAAGTGAAGGGCTAATTACGAAAAAACACTATATTTTGTGATTTTTCCTGGTTTAACCATCAAATTGTGCTAAAAAACCACCCATTTTTGGATAAAAGTTTTACCGTGAACACTATAACTTGCTTTCATGCTAAAAAAAACCACCAATTTTCATTTGTGCTAAAAAAAACCACCTATAAATTGGTGGTTAAACCGAACTTTTGAAAAAATATAGTGTTTTTTTCGTAATTAAGAAAACACATAACATGTAACAGTGGTCGCACTGAAACATTTTACCAAAAATTGATGGTTTTTCAGAACTTATTAAAAGTTGGTGCTTAAACCGAACATTCGGAGAAATATAGTGTTTTTTTCGTAATTATCCCTAAAATGAATACTAATACTTCTCTTCAAACCAAAGGGCTTATAGCCTAACGGTATCAGGAGTTGACGGAAAGGTGCCCTTTGGTTGAGGGGTCAAGTCTCTTTGTAGACAAAACGGTGTAGATTTAAGAGAGGATAGTGGGTGTGTTAGCCGTTCTAAAAAAAATAATAATAAAAATATAAATAAATAAACTCTCTTCAATGCATACCTCTACCCCCTTCACAATTACTATCCTTGCTGAAATAGCTATTACACCGGGACCATTGCTGTAGTTTTGTCTTACAAAGGGATCCCTTCTGTAATTTTGGTTTTACACAAGGTCTATTGTATTTTGCTATTATGGGGACCATTTTTGTAATATTACTTTTAAACATGGACTATTTTTGCAACTCTGTTCTACACAGGGACTATTACTGTAATTTTTTCTTATACATGGACAATTTCTATAATTTTGCTATTACATAGGGCCATTTCTCTAATTTTTTCTTACTCATAGAGCATTATATAATTTTGTCTCAATGATCATTTCCGTAATTTTCTCAAACTAAGGGACCATTAAATAATTTTGCAAGGATCATTTAACTAATTTTCTCAAACATAGGGACCATTAAATAAAATATGAAGTTTATAGAAGGACCATTTCTTTAATTTTCTCAAAAATAGAAACCATTAAATAATTTTGCAGGGACCATTTTCTGTAATTTTCTCAAACATAGGGACCATTAGATAATTTTGCAGGGACCATTTTCTGTAATTTTCTCAAACATAGGAACCATTAGATAACTTTAAAAAGACCATTTCTGTAACTTTCTTAAACATAGGGACCAATAGATAAATTATAATTTTATACAGGGACCATTTCTGTAATTTTCTCAAACATAGGCACAACTTCCTAAATGTGCCTGTAAAATTGTTATATTTGATTAATGATAATTTAGTTTCTAAGAACAAAAATGACAGACTGGCACTTGAAAATGACCATCAATAGTTGAGGGTACATATGTATTTCTTCGTTTGACCTTACTTTCAATTTTTAAACCAATTTTCTATTTATAGAATTGAGAGGTGATTAGAAGTGGTTTAAAATGAATACTTTTTTTAGAAATTGTTATAGGGATGAGAGGTGATTACAAGGCACTATAATGGTAAAATTAATCGAATTTTTGAATGATCATTCTATAAGCAATATGAACTCTTTGATACAAAAGTTTTATATATGAAATTAGACAACATAGAATATATTTTAAGTACTGTGACATTTGACTGTGGAGTGTGGACAAATCTAAAAACTGATGTTATATACATTATATTACTATCAGATTATACTCGAGTCTTTCTTGATAGAAAACAATAAGGATGATCAAAACTATAAATTCTAAATAACTTTTCGATCACCGCAGTAAGTTATGTTGAAATATCCATATATATTCTAAGGATTCTGTTATTAGAAGAAAAAAAGAAAAAAGAACAACACTCAGATGCAGGAAAAAAAAAGTAAATGATGGTAAAAGAAACTACTAAGCCTGAAGCAAAAAACAAAAGCAGCAGAGCAATCCTTCAAAGAGAAAAGCTGGAAAGATATCTATATGAGTTTGTTAGATGTTGTCCTAATCTTGTCCTAATGATTAGGTCGCCATAAAATATTAATACATGACTTTGAATCTTGTTTGATCGTAAATGTGGGTCTAAAATGATCTTCATCCCAAAATTCTGAGCAATCTGTCTCGAGTTTTGTTGTTTGCACCTGATCATTTTTAGGAACGAGTGCAGCTCCTATTCTATCTGCAGCTCCAAAAGGAAAGCCATGCTGGCGTAGAGAAATCAAAATCACATTGTATGTTGAATTCAAGAATGCAGTGCCCCTCAATGAATTAAAGGAAACATATCCCACATATGTCTTTGTTCCATCATATTCAGACTCCAGTTCTTCACTAGATTCCCGTTGAAGTTCAAATCGAGAAACTTCATCGACCTCCTGCTTGATAATTATATGAATTTCTAGAAATACTTTGAAGGTAACAACGTGAATTAAGATCCCACAAAACTCATTGTACCAATTACATGGAAGATGACGCAGTGTAAATGCGTTCCCTCGTAAGAGCCTACCAACAATCCCCTTTGGAATATGATGTTGAAGAGTGACACTGATACGGTAATCATTAAAAGCATTTCCCTGTCATACATGTAAAACACATTCAGTCGTGATTCTTCTGCATGTTTGGGTTTATATAATAAATAAAGATTGAAATTCCAAAGGAACGTAGAGCCAAACCTCGTAGAGCCAAACCTTGAGCATGGAGTCTAGCAATGTACCATCAGGTGGATCACCTACTTTGTTGGCCCCACGAAACGAGACTTTCCACAGCCATTTACAGTTTGAAATATCTCCAAATGTTTCAAGTGAGCTACAATTGTTTGCTTTAAGAACAGCTATGCCTGATGGGAGCTCTGACAATTCTATAAGGCGTTTGCAATCTGACACATTGAGAAAATATTATTATACATACATACATACATTCATAAGTATATTGTTGAGGATTTTAGTGGTATGAACATATTTTGGTGTAGTTAGTATTACTATCGAGACATACCAGGTTCAATTTACTTTCCGAGACTCAAGGTGCGGGGTGCACACTCGGATAGATGAATGTGGACTCGGGAATATGAGGATCTGGGGGCAGCACCCCTGGGGACGAGATTCCAAGGGGCAGTGCCCCTAGCAAGGTCCAAGGGGCAGAACCTCCGGCAGGGGTTCTGCTAAAAATGTATTTTCACACTAAAAACTTTTATTGTGTCATTATCAAGGTTCTAAATAACGTTAGGCGTGACTTGGCGGCAATGTCAAGCCTCAAGCTTTTCCGAGCCTTGGCGAGCCACGTCGTTTGTAAGGCGTGACTTAAGGCGGCAATACGTCGTTTGTAAGGCGTGACTTAAGGCGGCAATTTTGTATATAATTAATATTTTTATATGTATTTTCAACTATTATTCTATTTTATATACATATATGAGTTAAAGCGGCGTTTTGGTAAAGCTTGGCGGCAGGCACAAGCCTTGGAGCCATGGCGAGCTTTTTAGAACCTTGGTCATTATTATTATTAGGGGTCGTTTTTCCTTGTAACTGTCAGCATCCATGTATTTAAGGAAGATTGACATTGCAGACATTAGACACGTGTTACGAAAAACTACATCGTTACTCTGCAGCATTGTCTTTGGAGAAACGCAAATCACAACAAGGTATTTTTGTTTCAGATTCTGATTAGACATGTAATCAAAATTTGAATTTTTTGGATTATCCCACTTTTGGATTCGTGTAACACCATTAGGGACGAATTCCAGATTTCAGAAAGTGAGACAATCACGGTCAATGAAATATCCAAGTTTATTGTTATTCGAATTCCCTAAAACTAACATATACATATACATATACATACACATATACATATATATATATATATACATATACATATACATATACATATATTGTTGATGATTTTAGTGTTATCAACATATTTTAGTGCAGTTAGTATTACTATAGAGACAAACAGAGTTCATTTTACTTTCTGACATGGGAGGTGGGGGTGCATACTCAAATCAATGAAAGTGGACTTGGGAAAACGAGGGTCCGAGGGCAGCACCGCTGACGGGGGTTCTGCTGAAAATGTATTTTTTCGCTAAAACCCTGTATTGCATCGTTATTATTAGGTGTCGTTTTTCCTTGTAACTATCATCTTCCATGTATTTAAGGAAGATTGACATTGTAGACCATATACACACAATACGAAAAACTGTATCTGTAACACCGTAATTTTTCAAACAAATTTTTCATTTTAAAATTGTATACTTTTCATAACGTATTGTATAGAAATCTCGTTTATTCAAATTACAAAATAAAACTCCATTAAAAATCCAGGATCCTCAAACATAACTCTTTCTCTGGTGTGTACAATCAAGCCGGTGTTGTCCCGCGATCCTGAGAAACCTGAAACACATAGCACATAACACGGTAAGCACAAAGCTTAGTGAGTTCCCCAAAATACCACATACAGCACATAGCCACTCAAGGCTATAACTCGGTATGACCCTCCGGTCAATATGTCTCAGCGGGACCCTCCAGTCCCGTAGCTCGTTGGACCCTCCAGTCCGGTCTAGCTCGTTGGACCCTCCGGTCCGGTCTACTCGAGGACCCTCTGGCCTCGTAAGTCGTTGGACCCTCCGGTCCGGTCTATATAACACATAGCATACATATATAACAATGCACATAAACTCAAACATACACATAACACATAAGACCCTCCGGTCTGCACATAGTTACCACTCTAGGTAATGTATAGTGAGAAGACTCACCTCGGCTAGCAGGTGAGCAAATAACCTCGCGCTCGGATCTCGAACTAGCCTCCTCCTAACACAGAGGATGAATATCTCTTATTAATACTCTTTTCACGACTCAGATAATCGAAGGCGGTTCTTTCTCTTTCTAACTCTTTAAAGTGGGTAAAAGACCATTTTACCCCTCCAAGGTCTCTATCACATATGTTGACCAAAACCCCAAAGTCAACAGAAATCAAACTCGAGTCAACAGTCCAAGTTTGACCTGACTCGTCAAGTGCACTCCTGCGACTCGTCGAGTCCCCTCGTATCCTCAGAAGTCTCAAAAGTCCAGCTCAACTCGTCGAGTTGACCCCCAACTCACCGAGTTATCGCACAATCAATCCATCGGGACAAACCCTTGCCGACTCGTCGAGTTAGGGCATGGACTCGGCGAGTCCCTTGGATCTGATTTCTCATTCAGACGATTTCAACCATATCTATCACTTTTAAACTATAGATCTATCATCTCAAGGCTCAATAATTACGTAAAGCTTCGATCTTTACGTTCATACATGATGCTATTGCTTCAAAATGCCAATACATGCTCTTCATGAAGGTTTTTGCTCATCAACCGTCATTTGGACCACTAAAGCTGAGACATCTAGACTCTAAGGACCTTAGGAGGTCCAGATCTGAGGTTTCCAACCACAACCAGGTCTCATTCGACTCATAGATTCAAAAGAATGGAGGCAAAGCCCTAAAACTCCCAAAATGAGATCTAGTACAAGGAATGAACAAGATGAGGACTTTGTACCTTCTCTTAGCAGCTGAAACACTCAATACCACAGATCCACTGCCTTCCTTTGTTCCCCATCATGAAGCTCTTCATCCTTCTTCATAGAAATGCACCAAGAACCACAATATGAGCTTCTCTCTCACTCTCTAGCTCCAATAGAAATTAGGGTTTGCTCTCAGGGGAAGGTAGTCGCAAATGAGGCTATAAATGCCTTTAAATAGATCCCAAACCCGGGAAATTAGGGTTTCTCTGCCCAGCACCTACTCGGCGAGTCCCTCCTCTGACTCTTCGAGTCCATTCATTAAATCCACGCGAGCAACTCGACTCGACTCGGCGAGTTGGTCCCTCAACTCGTCAAGTCCCTCCTTAAATCTCAAGATTACATGCACAATAATGTCCCTGAAAATCCGGATGTTACAGTATCGTTACTCTTCATAATTATCAATGAAGAAACGCAAATAAAAACAAGGTAATTATGTGATTCAGATTCTGATTAGGCTTGTAATCGAAATTTAATTTCTTTGATTATCCCACTTCTAAATTCGTGTAAACCCAGGCAATAGGGACGAGTTATGGTCTACAGAAAGTGACATAATCACGATCCATGAAATATCCAAGTTTATTGTTATTCGAATTCCTAAAACTAACATTCGAAATCTATAATTTTACAAGCAATAACGATGGCAAAATATATCAGGGACATGAGTTCCAAATTCAGAAAACTAGAAAAGTTTGAAGGAAACGACTTTCGTCGTTGGCAGAAAAAGATGCATTTCCTTATCACCACTCTGAAAGCTGTTCTTGTTTTGAGTACTCCTGCACTAGAAGCACTGGAAGACGAAACTATGGAACATACCAGACAAAGATGCAAGTGGGAAAACGATGACTACATATGTCATGGACACATTTTGAATGGTATGACTGATTCCCTCTTTGATCTCTATCAAAATCATGAATCTGTAAAAGACCTTTGGGATGCCCTTAAATCCGAGTATATGGTAGAGAATGCCTCTAGTAAGAAGTTTATTGTTAGTAATTTTAACAATTACAAAATGGTGGATTCGATGCCTGTCATGGAATAGTACAACAAACTCATGAGGATTCTGGGACAATTTGAACAACACAAGCTGAAATTGGATAAGTCCATTTCTGTCACAAGTGTTATAGAAAATTGACTCCATCCTGGAAGGATTTCAAGCACACATTGAAACACCAAAAGGAAGAGTTGTCTCTTATACAACTTAGCAGCCACTTACGAATTGAAAATGACCTTCGGGTTCAAGAAATGGAAAAGGAAATGAAAAGGAAGTTTCTGGATATTCTATGAATATGGTAGAAGATGAAAACCATTAGAAAAATAATAAGGGAAAAAGGAAAAAGAAATATGACCATCATAAAGGTTCTAACAAGAAACCAAAACTTGTATGTTGGAATTGCAACAAACTAGTCACATGAAATGAGATTGTCATGTAACGCCTACTTTCTGGGCATGTTTTAATCGTCCAAGTTTAATTAAGTTTAAGGAAAATAGGAAAGAAGGTTTTAGTTGGAAAACGATATTGTGACGTGTCCATGTATTGGTAGTGAGACGTGGGGGAATCTTATACGTGACACGTCCATATGGATTTTGCGACACGTCGCCACCAACAACCCAAAACCCCAATCTCGGGATTTGAACACTATTTAAAGACACTAACTCCTAGGGTTTTCTCTCATTACGGCTGTAAACCTCTAGTAGCCTCCTTTCCTTGTTTTTTGTGTGTTCGTGCCTTTGGTATGAAGCTTGAAGAAGAAGCAAGTTATCTTTAGTGCAAATAAAGATAGATCCAAAGAGTTTCAGCCTTCTTATCCTCTTATATTGCTCTGTGAGTGACAAAGTCTGCAACTTTATGGTTATTTGCTTCTAGATCTAGAGTTTTAAACATTTTTGTCCTTTTTGCTATGATATTCTTGGAGTTTGGAAAACTCTAGATTTGTGGGTTGTTTTGGATGGATTTTTTCAGGACTTAGTGAGGTAAAAAGAGTGCATGCTAAACTCTCTTTGAACCATGCAAGAAATCCTTAGCCTTTTGGCATTGTTTTGGATCTAGGGTTAGTGTTTGATATGTTGGGGGCTTGCATGTTAGTAAAGTTCGGATTTTTATCCATTACACACCTCCCAAGATGGTGTCTAGAAAGTTATAGCCCATTGCTTAATAGATTAAGCACTTAATAGAAGTAGTTGTTTTGCCCAGGAAAAACGATGCGACCAACCCTTGGTCACGACATGGATTGTAGCCTGATTCACGACTCTTTTGGACTGTAGTGGACATGACGCGTCCCTATGCTAGACACAACGCATTGACCATTTGACCAGTTTTACTTTTGGTCAAACTTTGATGATACATGGTGCTTTTTACTGCAGTTAACCTCTGTTTAGTTATGGTCAATGAGATTCATTTAATGATGAATTTAGGTAGACCGAGGTAGTTGATACATTGTGGAGACTTGTGTGTGAGAATCAAATTACTGTCTTTAGCTGAGTTTTCTCATTATACGATGTGTGACATTATATGTCATTTGTGTGGTAAGATGTTTGTGTATTGTTAGTATATGAATGTGTGAATATACTAGAGTAGTCTTTGTTTATGTTAGTTGGAGTGTATTATGATGAGATCATTTTCCTTCAGATCGGATGATAGCAGGAACAGTATTGGGTCATAAGCCTACAGGACTGAGGGATGATTACAGAATAATGATAGGCCATCTACAAGCCCGATAGGATGGTAGCGAAATCCTACATGTCTGGTGGGATAATGAAGAACGCCTGATGGGATAATGATGGAAAAATATTAGACTGCAAAGCAATAGGCCTAGTAGAATGGGGGCCTCACGGTGGGATTGTGAGCCTACAGTTTGTATGCATTGAATGTATAATGGAATATGTGGTATACAAGGGAAGTCACTAAGCTTTGTGCTTACTCGATATATTTAAATGTTTTTCAGGTTGTTACGGTGAGAAGGGCAAAGGCGCGACGTGACTGTATTCGCATTTATATTATGTTTTTTAGACTTCCGCTTGACTCTATGATTATGTTTTATGATATTTGAACCCAATGGATTTATGTTTCTTTTCAAAAAATGGTTTTGGTTGTTTAAATTATATTTCAAAAAGAAAATATTTGTTGAAAATTTGGTACATTACAAGTTGTTATAAGAACCTCAATTTGAGGGATTTTGATGAATAGGAGCATGTGTCCAAACTCAAACTAGGTCTTTAATAAATTTTACAAAACTTTTTGGAAACGATTTTTTATTAAAGAAAGAATGATGTGATGTGTACAGTCAGTCGGGGCTTGATAAGAAGTGTAATTCCCAATATACTAATAGTTGTTTTATATGTTATTTATATGATTGATAGATACGCATGCTAGAATGTAGGCTAAGGATCTACTCAGGATTTGCATGCTAGATTACCTGCTTAGGAAAGATGCCTTTTTGCCTTATATATGGATCACTATATGCTATTTGAAGTCTATGTTAATATTGATAATTAAGTGAATGTTTTAGGGTTGTATGTAGTTAGAATCAAATAACCTTAGAATTCTTGATTTGGCCTTATTGCATGTTCCTTGTTTAGTTGTTGCCTTATGGTAGGGTCAACTATTCAACTGTCTATCTAATTCATGATTACATACAACTATACATTCATTAGGTGACTTGTCGATATCAACGAAAATTTCATTCGACGTGATAACGAAGCGAAATCTTAAAGAGTCTAAAAAGATTAGTAGTATGTGCGTATGTAGGCATATATATATATATATATATATATATATATATATATATATATGATAAAGCGCCTGGTAGTGGTTGTAAGGGGAAAATTAGAAACTTTGGGAAAATTCTTGAAATAAGTACGGATAAGTGTGGAGGGTAGTATAAACATGTACTACCAGAAGCATAGG